CTCTCCCAGACTGCCAGCTCGGTGGCCTTGCTTTGCCCTAGCCATTGGCAGGGCTGCTTTACCCTGCAGTAAAAGCATAGTGAGTGTGGAAGCTTCAGGGGAATGGAAGGAACCCAGCACGGGCTGGGTTGGAGTTTGGTCTCCAACCAAAACTGGGTTGGAGTTAGGCCTGCCCTGGAGTTTGGTCCTGCTCTGCAACTGGCTCCCTGAGGAATCATGGCAGGGGCCTACACCCCCCACACCTCATTTATTTATTCATTAATTCATTCTTTCAACAGATATTTGTTAAAGACCTGCACTACAACAGGCACTGGGGGCACAGTGGGAACAGGTGCCATGGAAGTCCCTCAGCTGGGTGTATATGGGCTCCATGTTCTGGGAATGAAGTGTCTGCTTCCTGTACTGACTTACCCTTCATCATCCGTGTTGGGGCCCTTGAAGGCCTCCTTGCCAGCCAAGTCCCTCTGGAGCTCTCTGGAGCAGGGAGCCTCCTTGTCTTTGTGGCCTGGGGAAGACCTATGGAGGAAAAAAAAATGGAAGTCAACCATACAGCAGCCATTCACACAGCAAATGCCAGCTGTCTCCACAGAGCTTAAAACCTGCTACTGGGCTGGGTGCAGTGGCTCACACCTGTAATCCAAGCATTTTGAGAGGCTGAGGAAAGAGGATCACTTGAGCCCAGGAGTTCAAGACCAGCCTGAGAAACATAGCTAGACTCTATCTCTAAAAAATATTTTTGAAAGTTAGGAGTGGTGGTGCGTGCCTGGAAGGTTGAGGCTGGGCATACCCAGCAAAACAAACCCTGCTGATTGACAGAATGGCCAGTTCTCAAAACCTCATTGCTAATAGCTACTTTTTTTTTGTTTTTATTTTATTATTTTTTTTGCTGCTATGCTGGAATTACAGGCATGAGCCACTGTACCCGGCATAGCTACTGTTGATTGAATGCTTGAGCCTGTTGTCGTGACTTTATATGCAAATCAACCCCAGGTTATGGGCACTGTTATCACCCATGCACATTTTTCAGATGAGCAAACAGAGGCACACAAAGCTCATGTCATTTGCCGCAATTTTCACAGGTAGTAAGAGGAGTAAATGGGAATTGAACCCAGGCTGTCTGACTTCAGAGTAATGGTGTAAGACTGATCAGAACCTCCTAATTCAAGCCCCATTCTGTTCTCCTTCACGTCATCAGGGAACCCCATGTTGTCAAATCCAGCAGAGACAGTCCCATCATTATTTGAAATGACCGTTCAATACTGCCGACCCAGTGGGCCACGCATGCCAGCCTTGTCAGCCCTCCTCCCTTGAGCCTGTCAAAACGTCCTACCTACCGCCCTGGCCACACCCGTTCCTTGTCTCCACCTTTTTCTCCTCCCCTTCATGTGCTCCACCACGTGCTGGGCCATCTCCTCCCCTCCCAAGGCATCAACTGCCACCCTTGAACCAAGGATCTCCACTTGTTCCCACCTCTCTTCAGGAGGGATGGCCAGGTGGCTGCCACCTGCGCACTGAGGATGGTGCCCAGCTTCCATTAGTTCACCATAAGCCCCGTGTAAAGCTAGTTTATGCTCATGATTCCAGCTCTATTCTATCTGCATATAAAGTGAAAATCTCTTGATCCTTGATCACTCTCTCAAACCTCAATCACAAGCCTTCAGATACCTCCCTCCTGGAAATTTTTTCTTGAATGCCTACGAATCAACTCATCAAATGAGTTCAGTCAGCAAATACCTGCCCCAACTAGTACAATGAGCTGTGCTACAGAAGGTGGGAGGTGGGAGTCGGGCAGGCTGGACCACGTGACCTTGAGCCAGTTACTTAACCATTCAGGGTCTCAGTTTCTTCATTTGTAAAATGGGCATAGTGACTGTATCTACATCCATGCGCAATGGACGCTGTGATGCCTGGGGAAGAAACTTAGGAGAAGGACATTGAAAGATGAACAGGGGAAAGGGCATCTCAGGCAGAGCCTCGAGCCTGCACAGAGAAAGGCCCAGAGAGGGAGGAGCCTGAAGGTGGGACCCGGTACTGAGTTCAGGCTGCAGAGGATAGTGGGAGGGGCTTTGCAGGGCTTTCTGCAGAGGCTGGCATAACTACTTCTGCTCTTTGAAACATCATCAAGGTAGATGTGGAAGGAAACGGCGAGTGGCAGTGGAGGCCTGGATCAGGGGCAGGGAAATAGGGACGGAAACATCTCTAAACTAAAACTTGGTGCCTTGGGGGTGGAGGTAAAGTGGGAGGAGCCAAGGGGGAGTGTAAAGGGACCTAGAGACAGCTCAGGACTCATCTTGAATGTCACTTCCTCTAGGAAGCCCTCCCCGAGCACTCCCACCCACCACACTGTTGAGAGGCCTCTGCTCAAAGCTCCCACCACCCCAGGGATTAAGGGATGACCTTCACTGTACACTCCCGCTTACCTCCCTGGTCTCTGGACTTCATAAGGTAGGGGCCCAGTCTCCCTGCTCGGATGTCTCCTAACCTCCATCCCAGTCCCCAAATCCTGCCTTCATGTCACCTGGCTGTCTGTCCCCCACCCCAGGGCAGGGGCTCAGCCCCTCGTGCTCCTTGCTGGTGGCCTCCTTTACCCACCCTTCCCCAGCACAGAGCCCAGTGGCATGGAGTGCTATGGACTCTGACCCAGTGACCCCAATCGATTCCTAGTGGCCCTCTTACACAGGCAGGGCAATGACCTCAGTGACCTTCACGGGCTCCGCAGACCCAATCCTCCTCCCACCCCCACCGAAGTCCCCAGCATGGCTTGCTGGTCCCGTCTTCAGGGATTGGCAGGGTTGAGCTGTCACTTCCCAGGGGCTCCTGTCACGCAGCGAGGTCATGATCTGTGGCTGACCTTACTCATGCTCTTGTTAACATCTGCCTCCCCCCACTAGGCAGATGGCAATTCCAGCTGAGGGTCCTATTCACTACTGTGTCCCAGGGTTGGGCTTGCGGCCTTCCACAGACCAAGTGCTTGCTCCATAATGATTTTCTGAGTGAAAGAATGAGATAGGGCAGAGAACCCAGGTCGACCATGCCTCCCACCAACCTGTTGGGCCTACAGTGGCAGAGCCAGCCCTAGGCCTCATCATTTGCCAGCTAAGGCTGCTGCCTCCATCTCTAGAATGTGTGCAGGGAGGCAGGACAGCAGCAGGAGCCCCATACCTCATGCCTTCCAGGTCTGGGGCCACCAGGCGGAGACCTGCCCTGGGTGTCAGGATCTGTAGGCGGACAATTTCCTCACCTGTGGAGCTGTGGGGCAAAGGAGAGACCCAGCGGGTTGCAGGTGAGAAGAGCCCGTCCCCGCTGCCCAGGCCCACTGACCTACAGGCCCCAGAGGAAGGGGCATCAAGGGCCCCTTACCCAGTCTCCCACCCCTGCCCTGAGCCCAGCCCTCCCTCAGGTAGAGCAAGGGTCCTTCTGGGTAGAAATGAGACCAATTATTTGCAGGGGCAACCCCAGCCTGTGGCCCCACCAGGAGATCCAAAGTGGCCATTTGTGAGGCCAGGGGTAATTCTGCATTTGTGGGCTGGTGGAGACTTAGGGGTATGAGAAGCTGAGAAACCCAAATCTGGAATGAGACCCAGTGGGAGGGGATGTCACAGAGTCAGGGGACAAGTGCTCAAGGGTCTGCGAGTTGGAGCCCAGGGAGGAACAACCCAGCCAGTCATGCTCAGAGCCCTCCCCCAGGTGACCACAGGCCACCCTGGACACACATCCTCCAAATCTGATGCATTCTCTGGCTGCACTGCAAGGCATGACGCCCAGCAGGTTTGGCCATGGTGCTGGCCAGGGCCAGAGAGAATATACAGTTCATAGGCTTTGTGGGGTAGACCCTTCACCCCAAACCAGACCTCGTTAGGTCTGTGGAGCAAAGCCTAATCCCAAGCCACATTGCAGTCACTCCTGCCTTTGACTGTCTGTGGCTTCTCATCTCCGTTCCTCCACTTACACCCTGGCCAGGGCCTGGAACACTCAAAGCTACCAGAGGGAAATTGGAGAGCTACCAAGGACAAGGCCTTTCCCAGCATGAAAGCCAGGAGGGACCTCTGCACACAGACAGCTCTCATGATAATGATGATGATGATGATCATCCTCATCGTTGTTCAGGATGATGTCATTTATGATGACAGTATAAAATCCCTGGCTGCCCTGGATGCCACAGAGAAGCACAACATATTTTCTCACTGGCGTTTCTGGTTCTGTCAGGGACGAAATGGGAACAAAGTGTCACCCCCACCTGTTCTCTCTTTCATGCCCTTGTGCCTCTACCCAAGCTGATGTCTATCATCCCCCAAACTCAATGGCACCTCTGCTAGGAGGGCTGTTACGGGGTTGAATGGTGTCCCCCCAAAAGACATACTGAAGTCTGAATCCCTGATGTTTGTGATGTGACCTCATTTGGACAGACAGTCTTTATGGCTATAATCTAGGTAAGATGAGGTCATGCTGTAGGAGCAGGGTGAGCCCTCATCCAGTGACTGGTGTCAGACCAGGGACATCTGGACACAGACATGGAGGGAAGATGGAGATGTGAAGATGGGGGCTGAGATGGGAGTGAGGCGGGTGCAAGCGAGGAGACAGCAAACCCTGCAGGCAGCAAAAGGTAAGAGGAAGGTGTGGAACAGATGGCCCCCCAGAGCCTTTGGAGGGAGCATGGCCCTGCCGACACCTTGATCTCAGACTTCCAGCCTCCAGAACTGTGAGAGGATAAATGCCTGTGGTTTTAGTACACTCCGTTTCTGGTACCTTGTTACAGCAGCTCCAATAAACTAATACAGGGGTCTCTCCTCCCTTGCAAGCTGCTACTAGCCCCATCACCACCCCAGACTCTCAACCACAGGCAGCTCTAGTGCATCTGAAGTCCAGGACCATGCTGGGAGGCTGCACACACTTGGAAGGCACTCAAGGAACAGAGGCATCTGCTGAAGCCGGAGGCCTGAAACTGATCACAACCACCTGTGGGAATACAGGTAACCGTGGCCTGTGCCAAATGGTTTGTGACTTGTGATTCAGCCTGCCAAAGAGCAGGGAGGCTGGGGATGTGGGGGCAGGTGGAGGGGGGAACCTCGTTTTCAGGGCTTTTGGCCGCATTTCCCTCAGATGCCAGCAGGTGGAGATATTTGTCTCTTTCTGCGTTTGAGTAAGGGCCCTGCAGCTCAGCAGGACTACGACTGGGAGCCCCTGAGGATACCAGCACCCAGGCACTGTGCTAAGTACTTCAGCTGCATTATCTAACTTTTAGTATTTGGAACAGCCTTGCGAAGTAGCTACTACAGCTCTCCCTATTTTACCCACGAGGAAACTGATGCACGGAGAGACAGAGACTTGCTCAAGGTTACACAGTCGGTCTGATGCAAAGCCAGGGTTTTGTCCTGTGCCCGAAGCTCTGCTCCTACTCCCTGCTCCCCAGACCCACTGCCAGGCAGCATTCTGGGCACAGCCAGGTCTGGGGTTGTCAAGAAGGGGTGCTCGTGCAGAGCCAGTTTCTTCAAGACAGGGTCCCTAAAGTGGGCTCAGGTCACAAGGGGGGCAAGAGTTCTGAGGAGCCGACCTTTGCACTGTAGCTGAGAGAGACAGGGCAGGGCCAGGGGTGGGGAGAGGGCCGCCTTGATGGGGTTACGCCTGGGGACAGGGCTGTGACATTCTCCTCTTCCACTGTGCCACAAAGCAGCCTTTTCTGAGGTGCTGCAGGACCGTGAGTTTGGTTGAGTCATTGCTCCTCACGGGTTGGGCTCCTCAGACGCCAGGCAGACGGGAGCCGGGCCTGTGGCTACCTGGGCCAGTGCAGCACCTAACGGGGTAGGGTCAGAGAAGACGGCCCTCCAGGTCAGGATCAGCCAGCGGCTTTCCTGTTGGGAGCTTCCCCTGGACACTGAATATCTAGCCTGTATGTGCTATGGCAGCCTGAACAACCTTGAAAAGCTATCCTGCAATGACAACCATATGATGGGTGTTAAACATCCAAAGGAAGTTTTTGGAATAAATGTCAAGGTGCCTCTTAAATCTATAATACAGAACAATCTAATTATCCTCCATTATCTCTCATTTCTTTTTCTTAGAGACAGGGTCTTGTTCTGTCGCCCAGGTTGGAGGGTAAGGGTGCAGTCACAGCTCACGGCAGCCTCCAGCTCCTGAGTTCAGGTGATCCTCCTGCCTCAGCCTTCTGAGTAGCTGGGACTACAGGTGTTTATCAGTGCTCCCAATTAATATTTAATTGTTTTGTAGAGGTGGGGTCCTGCTATGCTGCCTAAGCTGATCTCAAACTCCTGACTTCAAGCCATCCTCCTGCTTTGGCCTCCCAAAGTGTTGGGATTACAGGCATGAGCCACCATGCCCAACCTCCTATATTATCTTTTAAAAGACACCTGAAACCATTTGTTGCCTTTCTTCAGCAGAGAAATAAGGAGAAATGAGACGTGTATACTGCTGTGGGCTGACTTGTGCCCCTCAAAATTCACATTAAAGTCTTAACCCCAGGACCTCAGAAGGTTACTGCATTTGCAGATTAACTCTTTAAAGAAGTGATTCAGTCAAAATACGGGACCAATGTCCTTCTAAGAAGTGATTAGGGTCTGGGCGCAGTGGCTCACGCCTGTAATCCTAGCATTTTGGGAGGACGAGGTGGGCGGATCATGAGGTCAGGAGTTTGAGACCAGTCTGGCCACATAGTGAAACCTCGTCTCTACTAAAAATACAAACAATTAGCTGGGTGTGGTGGTGGGCGCCTGTAATCCCAGCTACTTGGGAGGCTGAGGCAGGAGAATCTCATGAACCCGGGAGGCAGAGGTTGCAGAGAGCTGAGATCATGCCACTACACTCCAGCCCTGGCACCAGTGCGAGACTCCTTATCAAGAAAAAAAGAGAGAGTTCTGAAATCTCCCTTTCAACATTTTCAAAGCTTCTTATGGACTGAAGTTCTTATGTGGAGAGTCAGACAAGCAGAGAAGATCAAGAGAGGGAGAGAGTGAAAAGGAGGAGCACTCTGGCAGTCTGCTGCCCGGGGCCATGGCTCCCGCTGCCAGCATTTCTGTCTCCCTCCTGGCACCGAGGAAGTAACCTTGAGAACAGTGGCCACCTGTATATAAATCGCTGTGGAGCTCAAATTGGGGGATTGCTATGGTATTAGGACAGGCACTCTCCCCTTCCGGCTACAGGGGTCTTCCAAGGGTGCTGCAGAGATGCGGCTTTTAGGAGACCTGGATTTGAGCAAAGGTCTCGATCCAGGCAGACACCTTAAACAGCAGCAACAGCAGGTGTTAGCATGATTCTGCACAAAGTACCAGAAAGTATTAGTTGTCCACAGACAAGAGAGCACCATTATCTGCCCAGATTCTCAGGGATCAGAAATCAGGACAAATCATGACCCATCCTGGAGTGAGATCACCTGTGCTCAGCCTGTCCCTGCTGCGTGACCCCACTGCCAGGCCGGCAGGAAGCCATCACACCTGCTCACAAGCCAGAGTCAGCTCTCGGCACCCACCTGAGCTCCTGACTCCCAGTGGGGCTAGGCATGCTTGGCAGGCACTTGATCCAAATTGCCTGAGGTGCTTTGGTCCTGCCTCCATCCGCACTGGCAAAGAAGGTGGCTGTGAGAGGCTCTAGAGATGTCACAGCCTCCCCCTAGGCGTGCTGGAGTGTGAGGAGCAAGTTCGACAGTGACAGGCTACTGCCATGGCGGCTGGCCCTCTCAAACCCCAAGGTCGGCTCACGGGTGCAAGGGTTAAGGTGACACAGACACGTACTCAACAGACAAGAGCCAGGCACTCTCTCTCTCTGGAGGCTGGACTGTTTTGGTCCTTTCAGCCCTGGGACTTTCAGCCAGATGGGCCCTCACTGACTTCTGTGTCCCATCTTGTCACTGGGCACATGGGGACACTGATCTCGAAGCCCAGCATGGAGGTCCCCTGACAGAGGTTCCTCAGTGACTGAGTGGCAGAGGTGAGTGCAATGGATTACCTGTCTGAAGGGTCGCGGCTCTCCTCTGAAGGCCCGTCCTCTTCCACCACCTCCACCCTTTGGGCAAGAAGAGAAATGGAGCTCGTGGTCTTCTTGGTTGCCCTGGAGCTTGCAGGCCTTGAAGGACATGCTTTCAATGGCGTCTAACTGGCCCAACCCTTCAGGATCAGGGCCAAGAGGTGGCCCAGGAGGGGGGCTCAGCAACTCCAGCTCAAGATAAGGACAGCATACTGGATTGAATAGTGTCCCCCCAAAATTCATGTCCCCAAGAACCTGTGACTGTAACCTTATTTGGAAATAGGGTCTTTGCAGGTGTAATCAGGTAAGATGAGGTCATACTGGAGTAGGAGGGTCCTAAATCCAATGACTGCTGTCCTTCTAAGAAGAGGGAAATCTGGACACAGACACACAGAGAAAAGAAGGGCATGTAAAGACAGAGGCACAGAGTGGAGTGATGCGGGTACAAGCCAAAGATCACCGACCACCGCCAGAAGCCAGGGGAGTGGCCTGGGATGGTGTCTCCCTCAGAACCTCCAGAAGGATCTAGACTTCTGGTCTCCAGAACTGGGAGAGAATACCTTTGTGGTGTTTGAAGCCAGTTTGTGGTACTGTGTTACAGAAACCACAGGAACCAAATGGGGCCAGCAAGACCCCTACCCGCCATTCTCTGTCACTTCCTTTGTGCTGCCACCAGCCCTACTCACTGTATTCCTGCCAACCTTCTGTCTTCCAATGTAGCAACTAGTCCCACCGTGGGCCTGTGCACTGAGGGGCCCTCTGCCTGGGCAGTGGGTATGCTGGCTTCTCCTGGGTTTTCAGTCCCCACCTAGCCACCTTAGCACGGAGAGAGGCCTTCCCTGTCCACTCAACTGGAAGTCCCTCAAATTCAACTTTCTAGAAGTTTCCTTTCCCCCTTATATTTCCCTCATGCAGCTGGAAAGTCCTGACTTTCTGATCATTCCCTGGGCCTTGTTCACCCTTTAGGGCCCATCCCCAATGTCACAGTCACCCCCCAGGGGAAGTTCTCCTGATGGCCCATCCAGGTTTTGATCCTGGATGAGAGCAGAAGGCAAGGCAAGAGGCAAGCAACAGACGCAGGGGAACAACTCCCAGACGGCCTTGGAAATGCTCCTTGGGTCAAGGGTCCAGCCCCATTAGCCATTGGCAAATGGAAGAGCTTGGCCACATATGCTACGATAGCCACCCAGGTGCTTGCCTGGCCTCCAGACAGAAGACACCAGCCCCTCATAACTCCCCTTGCTCAAGGACAGTAGTGTTCCCACCCACATCCCCTCTGCACAGCTCCCACACTACACCCCTGCGGACGGAAGGCCTTCCTGTGGCCAGTAACAGGCTTCCAGGGTGTCCCTTGATGATACTTACCTCTTTGCAATAAACGGAGCCTGTGTCTCCTGTGTAGGAGTGCTGGAAAGGAAGCAGAAAGGCAACGTGTTGGGCACAGCCCGTGGACAGGTGACATCATGACTGCTCTACCACAGAGAGTCCTGGGCCCTTTCCCACTCCTGTCACCTCACCTTCCCTGACAGTAGCAGCCAGACCTCTCCATTTTCTAGAAAGTGCATATGTGAAGTCTCAGCTAGGATGGCCCTTGGGGATGACCTCTCCACCCACCCTTTCATCAGGCAGAGAAGACTGAGCCCTGAGGAGAGGAGAGTTGTCCTTGAGCGTGGGGCCAGCTGGCGGCAACTCACCCCGTGTTCTTCTTGGCCGCTGACAGCACGTAGGAGTGCTCCCGGGGAGCTGTCCTCCTCACAACACTGCTTGCAGCCTGTGACCTGGGGTGACACGGTGGGGAGAGAGCATCTGATGGGTGCCAAGCTGGACATGCACTGCCAGCCTAGCCTGGGATGGACTTGGGATGACTCAGGGTCACCCCAGGGAGGCGAGGGTTCAGAGAAGCCAGATTTGTACCTGCTCCAAGGACCATTCAAAGGAAATGTAGAAACTGAAGGAAGGGCAGCCCACGTTTATTGAGTGTGTGGCATGTGCCCGGCCCTGCCGCTGATGCCAACATCCTCACATTGGCTTATTGCTCTTCTCAGTCTGGGAAAGTAGGTGCTAGTATCCTCTGTGATTTACAGCTGAGGCAACTGAGGCCAAGAAGCTTCATTACTTGTCCAAGAGTACTCATCTAGCAGGTGGTAGAGCCAGCACTCAATGCTAGGCGGCTCCTAGCTTCTGGCTCTTTTCCTTGCTCCACCCAGGCCTGGGGGCCCTGTCACTGTGAACTATCCCCTGGACAGAGGGCTGAGGAGGGCAAGGGCTGACAGATGAGCCTTTCATCCATTCGGGTCCATGGAGCTTTGCTGGCCTGTGTGGATGAGGCCAGCTTGGCACAGACAGGGTAGAATGTCAGCAGCATGGGGTATGCTCCCACTGCTGACCATGACTAGACCTAAGTTTGGGATCCAGGCGGCATTTGGAACTGTGGCGTCAACCCCTTCCCCTGAGGCATGCAGATCATGCAGGTAGAGGGTGCTGCGCAGGCAGTTTCTCCCTCGATGTTTTTGTCCAACTGTCTCAGGGCCCTTTCTAACAAACTGAGGCTTTTCCCTGGACCCGCATTATCTACGGTCCACCCCACAGAAGCCTCTCAAGGGCCCCTCAGCTGGCCCAACACCTATTCTAATGCCCCGTGTGCTACCGCCCTGCCCCCAGATGCCCAAAAGGCACCATTCCGTTACCTCCGTTTCTGTTCATCTGATGAGAAAGGCACCTCCTCCTCCTCGGTGTCCCCTGATGTAGAGCTGCGCCTGACATTGTAGGGTGCCCTAAGAGAGGGGAGAGCTGTCACCCTCGGCAGCTGGGCTTCCCGGTTTCAACAACAGTGATGCGGCAAGTGCCACTTGTTCCTCCTGAGAGCCAGCTCTCCCCTCCTTCCCTGTTCAAGCCTCCCCTGCTTCCCCAGAAAGGTTTCCCAGTTGCTCCCCATCCCTGGATGATGGAAGCAAGGGACAAACAAGATGTGGTCCCCTGGGAAGTGGAGGCACAATTCACCTGTCTGTCCAGAGACCCTCCTCTCTGAGCATGCAATGGGGTGGTGTGCTTTGAAAGGTAACACAAGGGGAGCACTAAGGGGAACCCCAAAGGTTTCTATCCAAGAGACAGCTCAAATTTAGGCACATGATGCTCAGGTGGAAACAGCATCCTGAGGATCCCCAGGCCCCCAGCCCAGCCAGGCCGAGCATCTGAGGCTCAGCGGAGGGCAGGGCCATGGCCAGGAAGCACGGCAGGGCAGCAGCAGCCCCATGACCCATGACCCTTTCCCCAGATGCGTGGGGACCCTCCTACAAGCTTCCTGCAGTCGCTGCCCTACCTCAGATCAGATGCGCAATGTGAATGGCCATCCAGTTTTCTGGGCTCCAGGCCACAGCTGCCTACAGTTTGGACTGGTTCCTTGTAGGAGGGAACCACGCTGAGCCTGGCATCGCATACTCACAGCTTCTTGTAATCCTCAGAGGTCATCTTGTAGCCAGAGGAGGAAGGGCGGGGAGGATGAGTATTAGCTGTTCTCACCAGACTGGCAGTACTAGAGAGCAGAGGGTTCCATGTGTTGACCTTCAGGCCCCCTCTTGGCTCCAGATTTGGTCACACAGCCCAGTGGACATGTGACAGGTGGGCCAGGAGCTGCCTGATGGCCTTTTCTCTTTGCTTTTCGCCCTGGCAGACACCCAGGACTGCGCCACTCAGAGCAGGGAAGCCCTGGTTGCCACAGGCAAACCCCAGTGAGCTTCAGGGAACAGCCCAGTGGGTTGTTGCCTGTGTCTTTGCTTCCTGTCTCCTGATCCCCTTGGACTTTCCAGCATGATGGAGCCCCAGGCGACACCTGATGCCAGGGTGATTGAATGGCATGCCACATCTGGCTTCTCAGTGCCATCAGCAAGCCAAATCAAGGGTGCCCACCGCCAGGCCACGGCGACTCTACACCCAGCCCCTCCCAAACTCCTGCACCTCTCTGTCCCAGTAGCCAGGCCTAGTCAGGACTGACCCCAGGACAAGGACACTGTCAGTGGCCCAGGACCTCCCAGAGACCCACCCCAACTCATCTCCTCTGTCCTCCCTGCCCTGCTCTCCAGCATCCTACCCTATAGAAGATGAGAGCTGGCGCCTCCAAGACCCCACATCCCTGACAGGCAGAGCGCTCTCTCTGCCATGAGCCCAGACCAGGCCCTCACACCTCCCCACTGGCTGACTAGCCAACACCCCATGGACATACCTTTTTGTAGTCCCATTGGCCTTAGGGAACTGCTGCTGGGGCTGGGAAGAGCTGTCTATGGGCTTGGTGAACACTCCCCTGAAAGAGAGCACAGGAGGTGCTGCTGAGCTCCCTGGAGAGGCTGGAGGGTAAGAAGTCAGGGGGTGGTGCGAGGGGACACAGGAAGGCTGGCAGGGTCCTGTGGTCGCTTACCGGATGATGTAGCCAGTGGGACCCCTGGTGCTCGGAGGCCTGTGGAAGGGAAGGAGGAGTGGAGTGAAGTGAGGCTTGCTGGAGGGCTCAGCTCAGTCTACTTTATTTATCCTGGCAAGTGTCCCAGCTGTCCCAGTGCAGCAGAAATGAGGGGTGCCAGCCCTCTGTGCCCCTAGCCAAGTGCCCGATCTGCTCCGCCTATTTCCCTCATGTTCCCCCACGAAAAGTGCCCAGGGTCACTCCTCATTGCAGGTACCAAGGAAGGCAGTTCAACGGCCTCTCCGAAGTCCAGCTTCTCCTCTCAGCTGACAGCCTCCCATCCTCTGCGCTCCGGGCAGAGCCAGTGCAGGCTATAGGCTCCTGGATCTGAGCCCGAGGCTTCCCCTCAACCCGGGACCTGCCGTCATCTCCCCGCCGAGAGCCTCCACCAGGAAGGTGCGTCTGGGCTTGAGGGGAGGAGGCCAGGCAGCTGCCAGCCAAAGCCAGTTGTCCCCTCTTCCTGCCCCTCAGGCCCTCTTTACTCCGCCTCCTACCATGCCCACATCCCAAGTCTTGGTGGAAGTTTGATACGAGAGGGCATGGCCAGAGCTTACTCAGTGGCTGAGGAACTCCTGCGGGGCAGCAACTGAGAGCGCTCAGAGAACTCCACGGACTGGGGGTGGGGTGGGGGCACAGCCAAGGTGAGCAGGCTGGGAGCTAACAGACAGGGTGGTTGGCCTGGAAGTTCTGGGCTCAGGAGTGAGGGGTTCCTGCAGAGTCATCCTCAGGGTTGGGGGAGGAGTCAAGGGGTTAGGGTAGACCCTTCTGTCCAGCAGTTGACGGGATTTGGGCTGGAGCATCAGGGTTTGGGTTGGAGCAAAGCAGAGCCCCAGCATTCTCCAACCCCACAGTCTCCTTCTAACTGGGGACAGCCTCCCAGAGGTAGCTATGTTGCAGCCACACTTGGGGGGTCTCTCTTTTGTATTGGGCTGTTTAGTGGGGTCCTCCCTGAGTCCCCTGCTGGGATGTCAGTTTCCTGAAGACAGGGCCTTTGTCTTGACCTCTGTGCCCAGCAGGGGACCTGGCAGGTAGTGGGCGAGGAGTCATTGAGGTGTGACAGAGAGACGTAGTTACTAAGGGCAGCCCCGCGGGCTGGCTGTAAGCTTGAGACCCTCCCTTCCAGATGCTGCCACTGCCTCTACCACCCCTGAGAAGCCACCTGCCGGCTGTTTGGAGCAAGGAGAGAACCTGAGTTTCAGTTCCCTTTCTGTAAGGAGCAGTTCCTCCAGATGCCAGCAGGGTGTGCCCACGCTTCAGAGTCCCCCTGGACACTGTTATGGAAAAGTCCCCTAAAGAGAAGCCAGTTCTCCTTGGTCGGCTGCCAAAATATGTCACAGTCAACTTGAGAGACAGAGCAAACTCGTGCCTCTCTCCCAGCATGCAACCTGCAGGAGTGAGTCACTGTGACTCCAGAAGCTGCCCAAAGCATCTCAGACACAGTCTCACTCCCTGCAGAGATGGCTGGGAGGTCAAGATAATAGTCTTCTTCTTAAAAACAATTGCAATCCTAGTTGGCAGCGGGAGCCATGTAGGTGCAGCATGGGACATAGCAAGGCTAAGGGCCTGGACCGAGTGACTTGTACACTCCACCTCCCCAAAGGAAAGTGCAGTGGAAAAACCCCTCCTTCCTGAGGATTTCAAATGACTCACTGCAGACCCTTTATGCTCCCTCTTGGCTGGCACTGCATTCCTGTCCCCTGCAAACTGCCCACCCCTGCCAGTTGAGGTACGGCCCCTAGCTGCAGGACAGTTCCCCTGGGGCAGAACGACCAGCCACCTGGGCAGCACCTCTTACCTGGACTTTGGAACCTCTCCAGCAGATGAAAAGGATGTGGCGCGACTCCGGCCTGAGGGCAGCTCTCTGGGGGAAAGAGGTGTCCTGAAAGAGGCCCCCAGCCTCCCTGCTGCCTGCCATTCTGTGGCTTCCATGCTCAATGATGCCCAGCAAGTCCTGCCATTTCTGTCTCACATTTTCCTTCCCCAGCACCCAGGGGCTCTCCCACCCTGTGACATCTGTGACATTGCTGGATAGGCTTTCCCATGCTCTGCCCTCTATAGGGCCTGGCAGAGCTCTGAATGGTGGAAGCCCCTCCGCATCCACAGGGAGGGTCTGGCCCCCGGACAGCATGCCCCCATGTTGCTGTGCTCCCTCCTGGCCTCCTTGCCTTACATGGTGTGGGCCTCTGATTCGTCCTGCTTGGTAATCCAGCTCTTGTCCCCTTTCAGGGTGGTTCGCACTTTCATCTGCTTGAGGACGTTATTACGCTCCTCCTCGCCAGGTGGCAGAGGCTTCCCTGCAGTGGGCAAAGCCAACCGCCTCAGAAGAGGAGCCTGGCCCGAGGACCCTCCTCCTCTTTTCCAGTCCTCCCAGTATGCTGCTCTCCCTTTGCTGCTGGGACAGTGCTTGTGGCCTGCAGGGGCACGCTCGGATGAAAACAGCCCCAAGCAGAGCCCAGGACAACAGGGAGCCCAGCCTCACCTTTGGTGCTGCCTCTGAGAGCTGAGATACTCATGGTGATCGCTCCGTAGGTCTCCTCAGTTATTCAGCAGGGCTGCTGGGGACAGAGGCAAGCAAATGCTGTCACTTCATGCATTTCTAGTGTCTTGCAGGTAAGCATGTGGGTCCTGGTGCATTTAGATCATCCAGAATGCCCTCTGGGCATCGGGGCTGGCAAGAGTTGGTGGAGTGCGAAGTGTGTACAGAAGCCGGGGCGAGCAATATTGTGCCTGCCCAGGGCTGCTCACCTAAAGAATATGGAGCTCAGGGGCTGCCAGGGAGTGTGTTCAAAGTGATAGCTGATAACAGGAGAACATGAGCTCCTACAGTGCTAACAGCCTGGCTCAGGCTGGGGAGTGGGGAGCAGGAAGCTGGCACTGGTGAACTCAGAGGGTAGGACAGTGCATCCAGAGCCCAACACCCTCAGGGCAGGCAGATGGCCTGTGGGGGGACGAGCTGGGACCAGCTGCTTCGGTGTTGGACCTTGGTTCTCGCCCCTTAGGAGTTTTCCAACCGTCCTTGGGCAGGTCAGCTAAGCTCTCAGAGCTGCCTCAGTTTCACCATTTGCAAAATGATAGTTTTTTTAAAAAAAATCTACCTTTTAGGGCCGCTGTGAGGATGGAATGCGCCAATGTTCCTGAACAGGGGTCAAGTCATCAGCTAGGAGAGGGGTGGCCAGACGTTGGCCAGGGCTAGAATGGTCTGGGCTGTGCAGCCCTGTTTGCTTCAGGGGTTGACTCCGCCTTCAGTGGGGAAGGCCCACGGCCACGCTGCCAAATTCTAGTGGCCCTCAGGGACCAGGCGAGTGTGGCAATGGGATAAGGGCTTCCTTTCACCCCTGGGCCACACCAGTCTCATACTCTGCTTCCTCTTCCTCTGTGTCTTCTCACCCTGCTCCGCCCCCTGAACCTGATGCTGCTCATGCTGCCCAGATGGTGCCACACTGCCTGGAGACCCTCTGGTCACTCCCAGCCTGAAGAGCCAGGCTCTTAAGAGAAGGGCTGGGGGCTCAGGCTTGTGGACATGACAGGAAGCAGGGCCCTGGCTATGCTGGCATAGTTGCAAAGCAGAAGAGCCTTTCTCTCCAGGGCTGTCCATCTCCTAGGCCCCTCCAGGGCCTGGACGTGTTTATGTGGAGGTCAGGGGCATACTCAAATGGACAGGGCAGGGGGATGAGAGCAAACCAAATTTGCCATGTCAGCAAGAGCTGGCTCTCCCATAAACTGCAGCGAACGAGCAGCCCAGGCAGCCCGAGCCTGCTGTGTGCCAGGAACGTCACCTCATCACTGTGACCCAAGGCTGCCACGTTAGAGTTCTTTTGAGAGGAGCTCATTCCACAGGTGATCCTAGGGCCACACAGGCCCAACTGCCCCCATCCCAGAGACCTGCGGAGTGGCCCCATAGGCAGGGCACATGGGCAAAGTCTCTGGATGCCACTGACTGGCTACAGACCTTGGGAGAGTTCCTCATTTCCTCTGGGCTCAGCTTTTCACCTGCAGGAGGAGGCTCTCCTAGTCCTTAGTCTTTAGGTTCCTTCTAACCTTGCTACACAGCACCAGTCACCTCAAAGATATACCCCTTTCTAAGGCCTCAAGGAGTGCAGCCACCAATTTCCACATATGAATGTGGCAAGCAGGTGACAGTCATCCAATTTTGGGAGTGGACTCCATCCCAGGCCCAGTCCTAGATACAGGGACTCATCAGTTTCCCCTTGTCAAACCTGATGGCCACATTATCTCGAAGTTTCCCAATAAATCAGAACCAAATAAGCCACTTCCAAAGTCAAGACCGACACTTTTGCCCATGCCTAATGACAGAGGCAGAGGGGCCCATGGCAAAGGAGGGCAGGGCTGGGTGGAAACGCCATCAGTCCCCTGCAGAGGGCACCATCCTGCCTTCAGTCCCTTCTTTATAGCTGAGACTCCAGTGAGAAGACTCGGGGTTTACTGCCAGACAAAGACCAGGGCTGTGTATCCACATGGGCTCCTTTCCCTCATGCCTGGCTGGGTCTCACAAGTGAATTTTCTTTTTTGATGAGACAATAAATATGAAATAGTCAGAAAAATCTCTGCCAAAGTAGTCTTTCCAAACGATGAAGTGTCAGGCAGTTCTCTGAGACAAGGAGGCTTTAAAGTGGTGAGTGTCAGACAGTGGGATGGGATGGGGTGGAGTGAGGTGGGATGGGATGGGAGGGGATGGGATGGGATGGGATGGGGTGAGGTGGGGTGGGATGGGGTGGGATGGGGTGGAGTGAGGTGGGATGGGATGGGATGGGATGCAGTGAGATGGGATGAGATGAGATGAGATGGGGTGGGGTGGAATGGGATGGGATGGATGCGGTGAGATGGAATGAGATGAGATGAGATGGGGTGGGATGGGATGGGATGGGGTGGGGTGGGATAGGGTGGGATGGGGTGGAGTGAGGTGGGATGGGATGGGATGGAATGCGGTGAGATGGGATGAGATGAGATGGGGTGGGGTGGAATGGGATGGGATGGGATGGGATGGGATGGGGTGGGATGGGGTGGGGATGGGGTGGGATGGGGTGGAGTGAGGTGGGATGAGATGGGATGGGATGCAGTGAGATGAGATGAGATGGGGTGGGGTGGGATGGGATGGGATGGAGAGGAGTGGGATGGGGTGGGTGGGGTGCAATGGAATGGGAATGGGGTGGGATGGGGTGGCGTGGAATGGGATGAGATGGTGTGGGGTGGGGTGGGATGGGGTGGAGTGGGGTGGGATGGGATGAGATAGGATGGGATGGGGTGGGATAAGATGGGATGAGGTGGGATGGGGTGGGATGAGATGGGGTGGGATGGGGTGGGGTGGGGTCGGATGGGATGGAGTGGGATGGGGTGCTGTGGGGTGGGGTGGGATGGGATGCTGTGAAATGGGAGATGAGGTGGGGTGGGGTGGGTTGGGGAGGGGATGGGGTGGGGTAGGGATGGGGTGGGATGGGGTGAGGTGGGGTGGGATGGGATGGGATGGGATGGGGTGGGATGGAGTGGAGTGGGGTGGGGTGGGGTGAGATAAGATGGGATGGGGTGGGATGGGGTGGGATAGGGTGGGGTAGGATGGGGTGGGTGGGGATGGGGTGGGGTGGGATGGGGTCGGTGGGGTAGAGTGAGATGGGATGGGATGAGGTAGAGTGGGATGGGGTGGGATGGAATGGGATGGGGTGGGGTGGGAAAATAGGGTTACAATCTATGTCCCAGCTGGAGAGCTGGCTTCTCCCTCCATTTTGCCCAGGTCTAGGCAACAATCCCTTGTGACCTTCTCCCTGGTCCCTGCCTTTATCTGCATCTCCTCCAGGCAACACTCATTGGTCTCTAGTCCCACTTGGCCCACATCAGCCTTCAATTCTCACTCAGCACCTGATGGTTCACCATTGTTTCTAAGACTGGGAGCAAAGTCCTCAGTCCCCTGAGCCAGCTTCTTTTCTCACAATACAAACACTGTGCTCCAAGCAGACCATGTGCCTTGGAGTCCCTGGAGGGTAGCCCTGCCAAGGGAAGGCCTGTGTCTTGGCTTATGCTGGCCCACCCACCTGAAATGCCTTCCCAACTCCCACCGAGCTAAGCCCTGCTTCTCCCTCAGGGCCCAACACGTCCAGGCCAGTCCTGCTCCTACTGGGCACTCCCTTCCCCTAACTCCCACAGCCAGGCACAGACCTGCAGACCCAAGTCTTCCCAGACAAGCCCTACTCCTCCCCCATCCTCAGCAAGGATCAGGCCCAAGCACCCCTTGACAGCCCAGCACACCCCACCAGGAGTGACTGCCTGAACCCACCTACCCCTCCTTGGACCCAGATCTCCTCCCAGACCCACTGCCCCCTCCCCTTGTCTGGCCCTTCATGGAGAGCAGGACAGAGTGACCCTCTACTCAGTGATAGCCATGAAGACCCTTGCTACAGTTGGAAGCAGCCTTGGAGAATGGAAGGTGGACCCCTCCAGAGGGGACTTTCTGGTGGCTCTTGTGGGAAGGAAAACCAGGAATCTTTTGACAGGACGAGTCTCTGTATGTATCAAAAGGCTTAAGGGCAGGCCCACTGGACCAGGAGTTGCCCTCGCAGTGTAGGAGACGGGCATCGTGACAGTGTGGAGTATCGTGGTGAAAATGTGGCAATCATCTAAATGCCCAACAATCATATTGAAACATATTACAGTCTATCCATTCAAGCAAATACTATGCCCCTAATACAAATCATACTGAGACATGTAGTCTCTAACATGCTTTGTAAACCTGTACTGTGAACCGTTTCTGTGCATCACTCAGTGAGCAGCAGCCTGTAAAGCAGTATGGGTGTGATAGTGTCACCTCAGTAAAAGTATATTTACACAAAGATGCACAGGGAAAAACATCTGAAAAGATAAACACCAAACTATTTTGCTCTTCTGTGTATTTCTAATTTTCCTGTCATGAACGTGTATCTTCTGTGTGCTAAAGATGAGACCAACAGTGCTTTCCCCAAATGAAGTGAGAGTGAAGTCTGCTTGGGCAGCCGAGGATTGATCTCAAGAGTTGATGACAGAGCCGGGCACTGTGGTTCATGCCTGTAATCTCAGCATTTTGGGAGGCCAACGTGGGCGGATCACCTGAGGTCGGGAGTTTGAGACCAGCCTGGTCAACATGGGGAAACCCAATCTCTACTAAAAATACAAAAATTAGTCAGATGTGGTGGCAGGTGCCTGTAATCCCAGCTACTCTGGAGGTTGAGGTAGGAGAATTGCTTGAACCCTGAAGGCACAGGTTGTAGTGAGCCAAGATTGCACCACTGCACTCCTGCCTGGGCAACAGAGTGATACTTCATCTCAAAAAAAAAAAAAAAAAAAAAGGAGTTGATGCCAGACAGGCAGTGCCCAGGAAGGACAGGAAGGCAAGGAGAGTGAATGGATGCAGGGACTGCATGCCCTTCCCAGGGCTGCACCCAGGTCCTAGCAGTGCGCAGGAAGATGTGGTCACCGGGACGGTGGCCTAGGCTCTGCTATGCAATGAGAAGCATGCCTTCCTCTGGGAAACAATCACACCACTGGCTGCCTCGCTGGAGTGTCGCCCCGGTGCCAGGTGGGTGCCCTGTATGCACACTCTCCCAGGATCAGGTCCCTGAAGGCCAGCAGCACCACGTGCAGCTCGAGCACAAGAACAGTGTCAACCTGCCTGCTTCACCTCAGCAGAGTCAGCCAGGAGTGGGTCCTTGGCAGCCCTAGCCACACTCCCGGGATTCTGAGTCCTAGCCATGCAGTGGCCCAGGTAAGCCCAGGCACACCCACTGCCAGTTGCCTCTATGGCTTCCTCCAAACCTCTGGGCCCCAGCAGCCATACCCACCCGCTGGAGGGAGGAGACTCTTCAGACTAGAGCCACCCACTCCATGCCTGCCTGTGCTGCTCAGTTTGCCACACGTGACTCCAGGACCCCACGGAGCAGCCTACCCACCCCTACCGCCCTACACTTTCCATCTGAGTCCAATATGCCATGCCAAGCTTTCTCATGCCTCTGCGCTTGTGCCTGAGATCCAAGATTCAGAAAAAGTTCCTGAAGAAAAAGAAAGTGCTGTAACTCGGGCCGAGAAGACGGAGAGTAAATGTCCCTTCCTTAGCCATCTTTGAAACTGGGTCCAGGGACCTGTACATGCCCAAGTCTACCAGTCCTGCTCTTCCTCTGGGAACTCAGGCTTCTTCTAAAGTCCATTAGCCCTGACATCCAGAGTGGCCACACAGCCCGAAAGCAAACACTGTCCCATGGGCTGTGGCCTGTGCTTACATCTCTGCTCCTCTTCCCTGAGTGGCCTCACATGGCCGTGACATCCCACTCTAGAGCATGTGCCTCTCTGGATTTCTCAGACCACGGCACGGGTGTCTCGATGGCCTGCATGAGCATGGTTCTGGTCAGTGCCATGGCCCTCATTTCTACCTTGACTGGGAGAAGACTTCTGGTTTTTCGGGACTCTCCATATCATTCTGCTTAGGCCTGGCCTGGGCCACCACACGCATGGCTGGCTTATCTGACACCTTCTGCATGAACTGTCCCTCATGGCGCACCCCTGGAGCCCCACTAGATGTGGCCACGCCTCACAGTACCCATCTCTGTGCTGCCTCTGAGCAAAGCCCTGTACTCAGACAACACCAGCCTGTCCCAGGGCAGTTCAGGACCAAGTCCAAGTCCTCTTGCACAGGCCCAGCTGCCTCAGACACCAGGCAGGAGCCCCGGCCCACCCTTCATCCCTTTCTCCTTCTTCCTGTCTCAGGTCAACTGGGCTGAGAGATGGCAATCAGGAGAAGTGTCCCTGGCAGGGCTGGGTGTGGGAGACGGGGATAGGCCCTCTCTGAGTTCAGATGGCCGCCAAATGCCCATGGGCATGTTCCTGCTCCACCTCCTCCCTGCCGCTGTCTGCCTCGAAGGAAGGGGCCCCTGGATCTGATTGGATGGATAGGAGCGAGGAGCCAATGAGGTGGCAGCATGGAGCCTGTTATCCCGACCACAGCAAGCCTGGTGTGTCATCAGCCAGTGGAGTGAGAGGGGAGCTGCCGCAGGGGGCTGATGCCTGCAGATTCCCTTGGCTGAAGGAGCGGGGGTGGCAGCAGGCAATGACGCAGGTGCTGGAGTGGGAGGAGATGGATGCAGACGGGAGCGAGAGAAGAGGCTCCCTGTCACACCACAGGATGTGCTCAGCCTCCAAGATGAGAGGTCTAACTCAGAGAATGTTTTGTAGAAGTTCCCCACTGCCTGACTCCCCAAGCGAAGCACCTCCCAGAGAAGCTGGCTCCCAGGGGATTAGGATGGCTCCCAAATTGTGCAGAAGGGAAGCAGGATGCCAGGCAAGGGCCTCCTAAGCAAACTGGGAGGGCAAAGGAGCGAAACGCCTTCAGCCTTACCATCCCGGAGCACTGAATAAGATGCAGCCAGAGGGCACGGATGTCAGGGCTTGTCTCAGTGCGTGTGTGCCAGGCACTGGCCACCATGCACAGGCAGGAGCGGGTGTGCCACAGGCAGAGGTGCAAGCGGAAGGGTTTCTTTCCCAAAGGTGAATTGGGATGCTTTGCACCCAGCAGCTGAGCAGATGCCCAGCTTTGCCTCCCCACATGTGCCAAGGCTCACAGGGATCACTAACAGCTGGGATCTGTGTAGATCCTTCGGGGGCTTAGGCATCAACATGAGGAGACAACTGGACAGGGCAAGAAGGTGGGCACAGCGCAAACATGGGTGTGGCAAGTACAAGACTTGGGCTGCCCGCTGCAGAGGCCGATTGCTATGTTTTAGGAAACCTCTGTCTGCAAGTACCTTCATGTGGCTGCGGGACAAGGGAGCTTTAATGGAGGTAGAGGCCCAGAATAGAGCCGGGGACCAGCACCTAGGCCTGCCCCCATCACTTCCGCAGAAACATAAGCACTCCCATCTGTCATGAGGGAAGTAGTGAAGGGATAATGCCCTTGTATCCCAAGAACTTGTTCCTGGAAATGGGTGGACCCAGACAGTGCTGATCCCTCCGCTTAGACACCTGCCGGGTGATTGCTTGCTGGGACCCTCGGAGAAGATGGCTGGTCTGTGGGAAGGAGACTCATCCCAGGTTGCCACCCTGGGCAAATCCTTTCTCCCCTCAGGGTGCCTTGGTTCCCCACCACTCAGTAAGGGTGGCAATGACCAAACCACAGAAAACACATGTCCTCCTACACGAGCTTTATAAACCCAAGGCTCTAGGTTGCCGAAGCCTCAGAGCCCAGTCAGTCCAGGTAGCTTCCCTGGCCAGAGTCCCTCCACCTCTCCGTTCTGGTCCAGCTCAACCTGGGAACCACCAGCACCAGCAGCAAGAGGTGAGGGGGGGCAGCTCCCTCCCAGACTGTGCCCCTCCCAGCCTGTCTGACAGCTTCACTTGCTGGAGGACTTTCCTTGGTAAATAGTGGTGAGGTTGAATTCTGTAAAGGGTTGGGGCGTTGAGGCTCCTGCCCATTTCTCACTGCAAGCATTTTCTTTGGACAAAGCCTCCAGTGGCCCTAGTGTCAGGAAAAGGACTCAAAGAAAAGTTCCCATGTCTTAGGTCCTCTTTGGCTGTCTTTCAAGCAAATGCCTGTGCGCTCAGAGTAACGGCCCTCCCATATGGATCCTTCACAAACTCATCGCAGTGTCATGAGCTGCCTTAGGAACAGGGAGGGCTGGTGACCAGGAGGGTGAAACAGATCATCAGAGCTGGCTTGCTGGAGAATGCAGCCTGCTAAACAAGGGGCCGCAGACAGCTTCTCCCAGCCCATTCTCCTTCCTTAGAGAGCTTGCCTCTCTGCAGCCAGACTGCAGCCCTGACCCGCATGGAGCAGCAGAAGCAGATGCTGAGGGGAAGGTAGGGGCGCAGCGTGTTCAGAAGGCCCGTGCAGAGCCAGGCATGCCTCATCATCTGTCATGTCATGAGACGGGCAGTGGTGCCCTCAGAGCTGGGGAGGGCTTGGTCAAGGCCGAAAAGCCACACATCCATGCTGGCTCTTCCAACTCTGGAGCAAAGGAAAGAGTACTGACAAGGAGTCCAAGGACCTGTGTTTTAGTCATTGGACACATCACTCACCCTCCCTGACCTTCGCTTCTAGCTTTCAGTGTAAATGAGAATGTTCTGTGCCCATGGGAGGGGTAACGGCATTCAGGAAGCCCTATTCTCACAATGCTCCCTGGACCCTGCACCTGGTTGTGTGGGAAAGGTAGAGGCTTCAGTGCAGCCCCTCCAGTCATCACCAGGGCCTCAGGACCCCATACAATACCACTTCCTTCCCGGGGAGGGGGCTGAGGTCAAAGGCCTAGCAAAGTAGGGAGCGCCTTGGCTGCGGCACAGACTCCCCCTGGAGGCGGCCGTAGGAAGTGCAGGGACAAGCCTGCACGCTCCAAGTGCGGGTCATGGAAGGGAGTGTGAGGGGGCTGAGGAATGATAAAAGCCCGGAAGTGCGACCTCCACGCCCGCTCAGATGCCCTCGCCCAGTACCTTCTCAAGGCACGCGCTTGGCTGACTCACTTTGGACCCAGGCTGATTTAAGCCGGCGCGGGTGCTGATGTTCTGGACTGAAACGGCTGGAATGATGAAACGTTCCATTTGATCAAGAAGCCCCCTGTGGCCAGGTCTGGTGAATCAGGACATTCTGATTCCCAGTGCCCTGCCCTGGAGTCTCAGCAGCTGGCAAGGCAACAGTCAGCAGACAGGTTGCTTTCCTCTGGGAAGGGAATGGAGCAGACGCCACCGCAGCCACCGCTGCAGTGGCTGTAGCTGCAACTGGGATGGGCCCTTCAAAGGTGATTCAGGGACCGTGGGCAGGGCTGAGCAGCTGGACCCCGGCTGAGCCTCCTAGTCTGCTGCTCCTCGTGAAGCTCCCAGCAGGCCCAGGGTGGACCCCTCTTGCCACAGCCAGAGTGCACGACCTGCCTAGGATGCTCCAGTCCCAGGGGCTTTTGCCTGGAGGCCAACAGGGGGGCAGGAAGAAAGCGCAGCAAGTGGAAAAACGAGCTGAAAGAGACTTAGGTTGCAGAGGGAAAAAACAGAATATGGAAAAAGACGCATGGGGGGTGGTATTTGTAAATGTGCTTTACAGGTAAATGACTTCTGCATGAAGGTCTGGAATTTCACCTCTCCCCATCCCGCCCCTAACACCGCAGCATCCAGACATCTCGGCATCTGTGCTGGACGGGCCCTGGGAGGCAGACATCTAAGGCAGGCCAGCTCCTGCCCAAGGTGGTGGAGACCTGGGGGCCAGCAGGAGGAGAGAAGGCCGCCCCCGCCACCTACCACTCCTTGGGACTCCTTGATTCCTCCTGGTTTTCATGCACCCATTTTCTAGTTCTCAGAGAGCCAGATACAAGCGACTGTTCAGGGAACAGGGCCATTTCAGGGCTGGCTTGGCTTCAAGGGCCTTCTAACATGTCTGTGGAGAACACAGGGCTGGGCGGGGACCCTCTTGCGGGGGCCTGGCTGCTTCTGCACTCCTCATCCTGCAGCTGTCTCTGCAGCCAGGGAAGCAGTGTGGGCTTCAGCCAATCCCAGTCACGCAGAGATGCCAGTCCCATTTGCAGACAAGTGGGAAGAGGAGGCTCAGGGTTTATGGAACCCACAGTACCTCTCTCCCTCTTCCCCTACTTCCTTTTTTTTTTTTTGAGATGAAGTCTCATCCTGTCGCCAGGCTGGAGTGTGCAATGGCACCGTCTCGGCTCACTGAAACCTCTGCCTCCCATGTTCAAGCAATTCTCCTGCCTCAGCCTCCCAAGTAGCTGGGATTACAGGTGCCTGCCACCGTGCCTGGCTAATTTTGTATTTTTGGTAGAGACAGGGTTTCACCATGTTGGTCAGGCTGGTCTCAAACTCCTGACCTCCAAGGATCTGCCCACCTTGGCTTCCCAAAGTGCTGGGATTCCAGGTGTGAGCCACTTTCTTTTACCCTCTTTCCCTCTCCCCTGGGAACACCTCCCCCTGCCACACACCCCATTGCTGCCATCCATTCAGTCTTTGCCAGAGCAGGGCCAGTGATAGGAAGTCACCCCTACTTGCCCTTGACTAACATCAGCCAAAGCTAATCCTTCTGTCCCAGATGTGGGTGATCACTAGTGAGGACCAAAAGGAACAGAAGGAGCCAGCCGCCTCCCCACCTCCCCCGAAGCGCTGGCTCCCCATCCTTCTCCCCTCCCACAACCCTCATTCTCATCGTCCTGCCTGCCCTAGGCCCAGAGTCCCCTCAACTCCACACTTACCTCTAACACGGCCCATATTTTTGGATAAGAATAAGGAAGTCCAGAGAGGAGAAAGCACTTGCCCAAGATTGCATTGCCTTTTCATAGTGCTAACTGCTAGGCCGGGTGCCGGGGAGATGGGCCTAGCGGGGTGTTACCAGAGCACTCATTTTCCAAGGAGGTGCCTAGGCTCAGGCCCGAAGGAATGAAAGCATGGGTAGGGGATCACTGGCATGAGTGGTGAAGCAAGGCCTGGTTTTAGGGTTTCGTTTTTTTTTTCCAGTTTAAAGCAGGCACTGCCTGATGTAAGCATTTTCACCAGGGATGCTGGTTCTTGTGATTAAAACCCTTGTGCCTGCTCTCTCCATAGCAACTCTCTGCCACATCAAGCTGTCTGGGAAACTGACCTAGTCATCAGAAAATGGCATGCCGAGCCAAAGATCACAGGGACTACATCAAGGGATCTGGACTGGGTGCCCAAGCTGGGCCCACAGATGGGGTCAAAGCCAGGGACCACCGCCAGCAACCACCAGCAGCTTCAGGCTTGCCCACCACTGGCTCCAGAGGCGATGTCTCCTCTCTGACCCAGGGCGTGGCTTCAGAGCTCTGTGGGAAGAGGGATGGCTCAGTGGGCGTTGATGAGTGGGTGAGGAGCTGCTCTCTTGGCTGGCCTGGACTCATCTCCCTTCTCCAGGCAGGCACCCTCCCAGTTCCCAGCTCCCTTTTGAGATGGGAAATGAGCACACTCCCCATAGGAAAAGCCCAGACGGTGTTTCTGAAAGTGGCCTCTGGGACCGCCTGGCAGTCAAATTCCCTGCGACACACGCTTAAGCTGCAGATTCCTTCTGCATTCCACTTCCGACGTTGAGAATGATACCCATAGGGCCTCTTGGCTTTTCCTTTGCCAGTCTCTTCTCCACGCAGACCTGCCCTGCCCACATCCCTGCAGAAAGTGATCAAGGAAACGCCTGCCAAATGCATGCATGTGTGTCCCTGAGAGAAGGTAATCCGGTTCAGTTTCTAATCAAAGGCACTTGAGCAAGTCCCTCTCTGTGCCTCAGTTTCCCTTTGGAAAAATGAGCTGACACCAGCCCTGCCCACCCTCTAATCCCTCCAAAGGCTACAAGTGAAGAAAGGTAATGAGAAATGTGGCAAAATATTAACAGCGGGAATTCAGATAAGGCTTCAGGAGTTCTCTGCACGATTCTTACAACTTTTCTATAAGTTTTAAATCAAGGTAAAAAAAAAACTTAAAGATGAAAAGTAACAACAGTGCTGGCATGATGGCACTCACCTGTAGTGCCAGCTACTCGGGAGGCTGAGGCCCGAGGATCACTTGAGCCCAGGAGTTGAAGGCTCGATGTGTTATGATTGTGCCTGTGACTAGCCACTGTACTCCAGCCTGGGTGACAAGGCAAGACCCCAGCTCTTAAAAAAAAAAAAAGAAAAGCGAAAACCAAAAAGAAAATGAATCAGACTTTGGTAGGCATGAGAAATCACCCTAAGAATTAAGTGTTCTTCAGTGAGTCATTTGAAATGTGGGTAGATCCCGTTTGCATCAGGTGGGGGCCCACATCCCAGCCAGCATCTCTCTCCACCTAGTCCCACCTCGCTCCTTGCCACCACAGCCCTGGAGGAGGGCACCATAGTCCTGGCTCAACCACCTTCCCTGCCAGGCACCTGGCGCTCGCAGGCACCCGGTGCAGCAGGTGCTCCTGGCTCCAGCCGCCCTTCTGTACTGGTGAGAAAACTGAGGCCTCCAGGGGTTGCAAGACAGGCCCAAGTTTGCACAACTGGATGGCGGCTGAGCTAGAGTTTGAACCCAGTCTGACCTCTGAGCCATTCTCTTAACCACTAGGCTATAAAGATGCCACCCTCACCTGCCACACACCTGACCAGCTGTGGGACAGTTCAACACCTGCTCCTCTTCTTGGTCTTTGGAAGTAATGATGGCAACCTCTCCTGACCATGTCTCAGGGACTGGTCTCCCCATGGCACTGCCCTTGTCTTGGCATCAGCTGGTTCACTATGGGCACAGTGGGAATGAATGCAGAGCCCCTGGACTGCCCCTAAACGCGAGGACCCAAAGGCCTGGACTGCCTCGTGGTTGTCACTGAGGGCTCCAGAGCACTGAAAGGCAGCTCTCCACTCTGGCACTGGCCCTGTCCCATGCCACCAGGGACTGGCAGTGGGGGCAGCCTCGGGGCTGAGAGACAGAAGGAAAGTTTGTGTTACATGTGACCTGGCACCTTATGAGCTGTGGCTGGAAACAAAACCCACACCAAAGTGATCAGTCACTTTGTGGAGGCAGGAGTGGGGAAGCAGGAAGGCACTGACCCAGAATTGGGGGGCTTTGCTTGGCATGCAACTGACGACAGTTCAGACCTGAGGAGTCCTGGGGGACAATGAGCAGGAAGACAAGGAGCACAAGTCAGGCTAAGGGAGGCATAACTGCCCTCACATGGGAAAGGCTTTTTCTGGAGTCTGGACTTGAGCTGAGCAGGAAGTGAGGTGGACAATCACTGCTGCCATTTCCCTTCAGGTGGCAACTCCTTACTGACAGATGGCCTCTCTGTCACTCCTCAGGGCTGATTTCTCTTTGGGCCCGCATGTGCAGGAGCTCAGCAAGAAGCGGTTTATGATATTTAAGGAGAAAGGGGGAGGTTAGACTCGAGCAGCCCCAAAGGACGTGCAGGCCTTGACCTGGTGGCTGCCGAGCTTCTCCTCCTGCTTCCAAGCCCTTCTCCAGGAAACCTTCTCTGATCTTCCCAGCCAGGGGTGCCTTGATGCTCCGGGACCTAGGAGCCCCTAATGTTTTCATGCTACACAGAGCAGCAACACCCTAAGTGCCACCTCTGGTGCTTGACTCATGAGTGTCCAGAGGATGGAAATGAACAGACCTTGAGCACCTGCTGCATGCCTTGCCCTGCGCTGAGTGCCTTCAGTCACCTCCACATGGCTGAATGGACTGCGCCCAGCCAGGGGCTGGGAATTAATGGGAGGGGCAGGTGAGTCTGAAGGGCCATGAGACCAACGTAGGACTTAGCCCAGGTTCTGAGGCCTTGAGCACTGTTGGATGGAGTGTGAGAGGTTCTTTCTCGGGGCTCCTAGCTTTGGGTCCTGAGATGCTGCTGCACAGCCTTCCACAGTGTCAAGGCTCCATGTGCATGGCTCAGCCACCACCTACCTTATCTAAGTCCCTAGCAGCCCTGGGTGGGAGGCAGCTTGATGTGTCACCCCCTTAAACCGATAGAGTACCCAGGTGTCCCCAGCTTACAAGTGGCAGAGCAGGCAGGAGCACCTGAGCTTTCGGCCTTTTTCTAAGGCAAGATATCCCTCTACCTTTCCAAAAAGGACAGACTCTTGGCTCCCGCTGCACCCATCAAAACAATCCAGCCACAGAGCTGGTGCACTGATGATCAGGGCGATAACACCCAGTGACACCTGATTCGGTGCCTTCTGTCTGAGTGTGATCAGCCACCACTGCATGGCCCTCCCTAAGATTGTCCTGTACCCAGCACATGCCCATCACAGGCCCTAGAGCCATCGGGGGAATCCTCTGTGTGAGCCACCCTCTGGGTCTCAGTTTCCTCATCTATAAAATGGACACAGGGAGATGGAGGGATGTGAGGTTCCCTGATTCTTACAGGCCTACAGTCAACTCAGAGCATCGTGGCAACCAAACTGCATCTTTCCTAAAAGGAAGGCCAGGGGGCTGAGGCTGGCGAGGGGGACACTTGCCTCAGTAGGGCACGCTGGCCTCCTCTGTTTGCCAGTCTCTTCACTCAAACAGCGAAAACCAGAAACCCACTGCCTCCCCAGGGCGACCCAGAGAGAGATGCTTGGAGCCAGTAAGGGTTATGGATGGGGAAACTGAGGCCCTGACTTGTCCCCAGCTGGACACGGACTGGGTGTCCCCCGCTGCCTCCCCGCAGGGCCGCGTCCGTGGCGACTCGACAGCCCTACCTGGCACAGGTGCCCGGCTCGTGGGGCGGGTGGAGGGTCGGGCGGTCGCGGGGCGCGGGCTCCCTCGGGTGGGCTGCGCCCGGCAGGGCCGGGCCTGGGAGGCGGGCGCAGGGCGCGGGGCGCAGCGGGGAGCGCACAGCTAGGCGAGGAGGCGCGGACTGGGCTCCGCCCGCAGGAGAACAAACAGGTTTTCCCTGGCTGCCCGGAGCCTCGCCCCTCGCTCCTCCCCTCGGCCGGCCCCTTCCTCTGCCCCTCCTGGGGTAGGTAGAGGCGCCTGGCACATTCCGCACATTCTCCCGCCAGCGTCCTCCGCCTGCCCGCCCCTTCTTGGCCCCGCCCCGCGGGGCTGCTGGAGAAATCAAGTCCCGGGCTCCCCTCGCCGAGCACGGGGCGAGCTCCAGAAGGCTCTGCGATGATGGAAAACTT